CAGTTCTATTGCACTGTGTTGCTGTAATGTGCGTGCGTGTGTGTGTGTGTGTGTGTGTGTGTGTGTGTATGGGCTGAAAGTATTGATGTGTTGAGTGAAATGTATCAAGTTTACATTACATATATAACATTTTTATTTTTTCCATTTCCTGTGGAAATTAACATTTGTTAATTTAGAAAATTAGCCTGTTCTAGAGAATGGAAGTGAATCTGTCTTCTCCTGACAGGAGTAATATCCTAACTTCAATGCAGAAAAACATTTGAGTACTATATGACTAGTGGTCAATTAACAAATTGTCATTTATATCAATCTATTACTTTACTTATGTCTTTTAAATTGTTATAAATAAAGAGAATGCTCTTATAGCAGAAGCTATGGAAAAGTAAGATAATGAGGAAAACAAACTGCCTTTAATATAACAGGAAATCTATGCAGAAAGACAGACATGTTGTCTCCATGTCTGAAACCACAAAGTTAAGTGAGGGCCAGCACTGTTTAACTTTTTCAGTGGGATTGGGAAAACTGAGCAAGAGACTTTTCAGGTGAGGAAGTCAAGAAAGGTCTCTGCAATCCTGGCACTACTGGCCAGTCAGGTAATATGCTTCTAAGGTACCAGGGAAGCTGTGCCTGACAAATAGGGGTGGGGCAGGCTGCTGGGTGACCCTGCCTTGGCCATGCAGTCTTTGGAAAATGTGCTTTTGCCCCAAACTTTCTCTGTCCCTGATGAAATGTGGATGATGAAACAACTAGCCCTGCTTTACTCATACATAATGATGAGTCTGGGTGTGAGGACTGTGCTAACTCTCCTGCCAGGAGCCCTAGGCCTGACCTGCTGTGGCATTGCTGGGACCCGAAAAACAACATCTGCTTTCTCTCTCCCCTCAGGCTTTCTGGCTGCTCTGAGCAGTTTATTGCATTTTTCATTGTGTCTTTTCTTCCCTTGTTCTGCCAAAGGTAAGTGCAGCAAGTTTGCCTTGGTGAAGATGTCTCTTTACCATAGTTAGGATATTCTATTTTACTAAAAAAAATTTGGGGTGGGTGTAATTTAAAGGAAAAGTCATGCTGCATTTAAAGTTGGGCTTTCACAGTGTTGCATATTCTGACATCTGGAGGCCTCTCTCTCTCTCTCTCTCTCTCTCTCTCTCTCTCTGCAGCATATCAAACACATTAACTATATCCATACTCCACACTAAAAGCCTTCATTTTCAATTTTTAAAAGGATTTTTTATTTTTATTTTAGAAATTATTTGGCTGTATGTAAACTTTCGTTTAACTTGTGCTTGGTTTATGAGTTCCCTACAATCAATGTGTGTACTTCAGGGAATCTGTGAAGTGAGAAAGCTGAACCATTAAATTGCAGTAGACATAATGAAATCTTTATGAATGTGAACTTAGACAGTTAATGACATTAACATGCTGGTGCCATTTTGCAGACACTTAATTAGATATTTATTCATTTGAATTCTTATAATGTTCTTGAGTAGTTCTGAAACCAGTAACTGTGTTTCTACCTAGGTTTGTCTTATAAATTTTCTTGGGTCCCCAGGAAACTCTCAGTTCTGGAATTTCATTGCCTTGCCGAGGCTTCAGTACAATGGTGCTTCTCAAAAGATTTTGGCTCTAGTACAATTTTATACTCTTAAAAAAATTATTGAGAAACTCCTCCCAAAATTTGTATTTTATATCTTAAAATGTGGATTATATAAAGAGCTATGTATTATACTAGAAGTTATAACTGATAAAACTTACTTAATATAATAATGAATCGATTATATAATTACCATTTTAAGCTTTTGAGATTTTCATATGGGTATATGCGTGTACATCATTTCCATCTCTTTCCCTACTCCATATTGTAGAGGAATTTTAATCCAGTAATATGGCTGCTCTTGAAAGGGATCACATCCAAAGAAGGACCTTCTAGGTCTGTGTGATCCAGCTGGAATGATTCACCTTTAATCCCTTTGGCTGGAATACAGACATGTCCTTAGTTCACATCTTCAATTCCAAACAATGAAGGCAAACTTTGTAGAAGGAAGCAGCCATGTTTGAAAGTGACACTTAATTGAGGAGCAGAGAAAGTGACCAATGAGAATGCTTCAGAGAGGATAAGTCAACTCTCATGAGAACAGATAGGAAAGAGAGGCGACTTAGGAGCAGCACAGAGTAAGTCAGCAGTGGAAGGCAGTTTAGTGAGTGCAGTTCAGTTGAGTTTAGGTAATGCAGTGGAGTTCAGCTGAGTTCAGTTCAGTGTAGTTTGGTGTAGTTCAGTTAAAATGCAGATGAATTCCATTGTGGTTCTCTTCAGTCCCATTCAGTTTGGTTCAGTTCCTGCAGTTAGTGCGGTCAGTGTAGTTCAGTTCATGGAACTCAGGGGCAATTTTTCTAAGCAGAGCAATTCAGTAAGAAGCTGAGAGAAGCCAGTTTGAATCAGTCAGCTTAGAGAAGAGTTTTGAGCCAGAACATCTGAGTTGAAACAGCCAGCCAGAGCTCAGAAAGAACTAGAAAAGGTGAGTTTACACCATATCACACCACCATCTCCTCTCATGATCCTTTTCCTATAATTACTATTGTTATACATACATATACACCATATCTTTAAAATCTACTTAATCTAATTAGTGTTTCCTATATGTGTATGAGTTTAGGGCTAACCACTTAGAAGTGGGAATCTTATCAGGGGGCCCATCATTGAAGAAAATGAATTCTCCCTCCCTCAGGAGCCATTGACTGCCTGTAGCTCTTTATCTAGGAGTGAACTTTATGAAACTTATCCCTATTCATTTTGGTATGATAGGAGGTGTCTTCTTTTGATAGCAACCATATTATTGAGAGTTCATTAGAGCAACATTCCTGCCAAGTCTAGAATATAGTATCTTGAAGCACTTGTCTTAGTCCTTCAGCTTTCACAATATTTCTGCCCCCTCTTCTGAGATATTTCTTGAGTCTTGGGTATTATGGTTGTATTGCAAATATCACAACTAAGGTTGGGGGTTTTTAACTTACGTTGTAGCTCAAGCTGGCCTCAGATTTTTGGTAATCAGTCTGTTCTGCCTCTTGAATGCTAGAATTTCAGTTTTGAGCTACAGCCTTTAGTTGGAATTAACATTTTAATTATGTTAAACAATTAAATTTCTCTAAAATACATAGCTAGAAAAGTAATAGTTTTATGAATTTCTTTAACATATGACTTAGTGGAAGACATATTCTCATAATTCATTTAGAAATTAATTTGCTCCTGTATATTGGTTTAGTTGTGGTTAAGAAAATTAGCTCCATATAGATATGAATTTATGGGAAGGTATATTTTAATACATTTTCTTGATACTATATCAAACCATGAAATTGTTGTGTCTGTGTGTGTGTCTACAGGGCCTTCTGTATTTCGAGGCCAGAAGTTAACACTGGGTCTTTCTCAGTTGTTTTCCACTTTATTTTTGTTATTATTTATTTATTTATTTATTTATTTAAGACAACCTGGAATTCCTCACCTTAACCTTAACTAAGCTAGAATATCTGGCCAATAAGCTCAATGGATCCTTTTGTTTTTACTTCTACAGGACGGAGACTACAAATGTACATCACCTTTCCTGATTTTTATGTGGGCCTAGGGATCAACTCCAGGACCTCATGCTTGTACAGCAATACCTTTACTAATCAAACCATTTCCCCAACCTTTTGTATACACATTTCTTAAACGTTATTTGTGGTGTACATTTGGAAATCATCATAGTGGAAATTTTATATTATCTTAAACTCTATGAGCTAGTTTGTACTTAGAAGCTAATTATTCCTGCACAAGTCCTGCACAATTCCAGGGTCTGAGTACCATGATTGCTTCGCTGTTATATCATGTACACATCGTGATCTATGAAGAGGGAATCTGGTTAGGATTGCAGCTGTGACATTCACACAGGTGCCTTTCCTCCAATGTGAATCAACGTATATTATGAGCTTCCTATTTTCTCATGTAAGATGATAAAAAGTCATATGTTCTAGGACTGAAATATAATGAATAATTATTCTCTTTCATCAAATACACATTTATGTGAAGTGCCATGTTTTTCTTCAGCAGGTTGATGGCAATGAAGAAATCAATTCACTGGTTCGGTTGGTGACACAGCCTTGGTTGTGTTATAGTGCTGGTGGCTTCCCATAGTTTTCCTATGTCACTATCAGTGCAAATGCAAACATAACAGAGAGGGAAAACAATCTCTTAGTGTTATTACAAAACCCTTTAGACTTTATAGATCCCTTGTGAAGGTCTTGGGGACCCAGAATTGTACATGAGAACCCCTCTGGTACCTGGTAGAATTATGAATATTCCAATAAGTCATTAAAAACTTTCTCCTGGGGCTCTTTGGAAACATTCCTTTGGGCTTCCATCACTGCTGTTTGACAAGACTTTTTTTCTCTTGAGGTTTTCAAATGAGGTCCCCTTGTTCCCTTTTCATCTTCATTCCTCATGCTGAGATTGTTGCTACTTCTGGGGACGTGCTCTTGTGTACACCAGGAAGAGGGTCTCACCAAGGACTTCTCACTGGTTTGAGGGCTACAGAAAGCTGCAGTTATTTTTTTCTCAGCTCTCGTAATCTAGTCTAGACATTCTGAGGAGGTGGAGGATATAATTACAGCTTGAAGCACCGTGCAGGCACCAGCAGTACAACTCCTCCAGCACATGTGGGACTCAAGTCCCCAGACGACAGTGAAATCTGATGATTCATTTGCCCAGATAAGCTGAAAATGAAACGTTAGAGGTCCAGGGTCCAGTTGTCCCTTCTACATTCCCTTTATGCACAACCGATTTCTCCATTTGGCTTGTTCAATTCAAAGAAACAAATGTGTCTTGTGCACTTACTAGGAGCATCCCCCTTTGGGGCCACGTTGCATCTGCTATTGTGTTGTTTAATCTCCACTGGTGGCCCTAGACTCATTTCTGCTTCTAAGGGATACTGCTCTTACTTTGCTTTGTATGGATGGCAACTCAGGCTCTGGCCTCCAGTTGGATTCTGCTGCAATTGCCATCATGATGAAGATCAGAAGGCAGAGCAGAAACAGGCTGCTTTCCCCTCTCATAGCTGGTTTAATGAGATTATAGCTTGTGCTGGCTACTCCTTTTTTTCTGTTACAGATGGCTACATCTTTCATTGTAATTTGTGGCACTATCTGGTGGTTTGAATGAGATGTCTCCCACTCTCTTGAGTATTTGAGTACTTTGGTCCTTAGTTTGTGGTGATGACTGTGGAGGCTTTTGAAGTATGGTCTTCTTAGAAAAGGCACGTCTTTGGCAGCATTCTTTGAGAGTTTAAAGACTTGCTATTTCTAGGAACTTGCTCTCTCTGCTCCCTGTTTGCAGTTCAAGATGAGAGTCCTTATCTTCTTGGTCCTGCCACCGTGTGTTTGCTCTGTCTTTATGGATTCTAGCCCTCTGGAATGGTAAGTCCAAATGAACTCCTTTTTTTTTTTTTAATGTAGCTGGTAATGTTATTTTCACAACAATAAAAAATAACTAATAAATGCTACTTTCTACCTTTGTCTTTTCTTGGAGCCTAACAGTCTCATCCTGTGGCTAGTGCTTACCAAGTCACTACTTCCTCCTTCCTTTTCTGATCTGGCCCTACCTCTATAAGAACTATCCCCCTGATACTCTTTCCAGTTGAGATTTGAGTTTGCCCTGGCTGGATCTTGACTTCTACCAACAAAAGCTTGCCATTGAGAAAGAAACTCATGATCTACTGAACTTAGTTATCTTAAGCATCATTTAGGAGTATGTCGTTCTTAAACCTAAGAGCATCTCTATTTTTATGCCATTTTTATTTTTATTTCTACTTAATTAGTCTCAATTCACACACACACACACACACACACACACACACACACACACACACACATTAATTCAGGTTTAAAAAGAAAAGAGAAACACAGAATACCTTTTGACACCAGGATGATAGAAAATAGGTGTATTTACTGCTATAGTCTGAATGCTGATGTTCTCAACTTCATAGGTTGAAATCTTAACCTCAGGTTGTGATAATAGGAGGAAGAGGCTTTGGAGAGTGAAGAAGTCATGATGGTGGAATTTTCCTGATTGAAATTAATGACTTTATAAGAGAGACCCTAGAAAATTATTGGCTAGTTTGTTCACCATGCAAAGATTTACTGAGAAGCCAGCCACTTCTCATGAGCTACTATGGCAATGGCAACATTATAAAATATCTCCTACATTGTAATAGATTGGAACTTTTGCTGGACCTCATAGCCAGAGTACATAAAAACCAAACTTTAAAATTTACTTAAGACTATCCCACTGTGTACTCAGCCTGTTTGTTTAACCTTCCTTAAGAGAACAATGTAATAACCAACCTTACTTGCCGTGGATTTCCCTTATAATGCATGTTTACAATCTAAACTAATAGAAACTATAATCTTAAGTTATATACTCTTCCATCCCTGACCCAACACTAATGCATACATGTTGTGATAATTATTTACTGGAAACAGTAAATAGGTTGAAATTGAACTTATATGTGAACACCCACAATAGCATATAAATATTGCTTGTTAGTTAAAGATGTTTGTAATGCTTTTGGTTTTACGGGTTATCTGAGTTCATTTGGAGTTGATGATTTAATACCTTGTAAAACTGTTACAAATTTTCTGTAAAGTATCTCTCATAACTTCCCCATGTGATGCTTTCTGTGCTGTTAAAGGGAAAGAAAAGCCCTTTAATAGGGACAGACACAACACAGACCTACTTAGACATATTCACACACATTCAAACAGACAAACAGGGACAGACACAGACAAAGGGACAACTTCACAAACACTCTTTAGGCAGGCAAGGATTCATGCAACAGACAATTTGGACTCGCTGTTAGTTGACTGAGACCCAGGGGAAGTACTTTGGTTTCTTTCCATTTGGCTTCACACCAATGTGTTATCCTTGACTCTGAGTTTATCATTAATGCATTCAAACAGACAACATTTGTGTATCTTGTGTGAGGAAATCGTTAATGGATTAAATCTATGCAAGCCATTAGATGGGCACTCACCAACCTAAAATCACTCAATGCCTTCATTCATTCTTACTTCTCCGCCTCAAGAACTCTTGAGAAATACATTTCTTTTGTCGTAATTTGTGTTTGTGTTGTTTTTATTACAGTGCAGGCTAAGATGCCAAAAATACAAGACAAGAGTAAAAACAAATGATGTGAGAGCTACAGCCATGCCATTGTGTTTAAGAGCGTGGACCTAGTCCCAGTTTTCTGAGAAACTGCCAAGTTGATTTCCAAAGTGGTTGTATAAATTTGCACTCCTACTAGCAATGATGGAGTGTACCTCTTGCTCCATGTCCTCACCAGCAGGTGCTATAGGAACCTCAGTAGAGTGTAGGAACACTAACCTACCCACAAAACATTCAACCTAAAATTTATCCTATCTACAAGAAATGCAGGGATGGGGATGGAACAGAGACTGAAGCTAACCAATAATCAGCCCAACTTGAGACCCATCCCATGGGCAAGCACCAATCCCTGGTCCTATTAATGCTACTCTGTTCTGCTTGCATACAGAAATAGAAGTCTAGCATCATTGTCCTCTGAGAGGCTCCACCCAGCGGCTAACTCAGAAGGATACAGAGACCCACAGCATAACAGTGGATGGAGCTTGTGGACCCTTTTATATCAGGGGAGGACTGAGGTACCCAAAGGAGATAAGATTTCCACAGAAATACCAAGAGAGTTAACTAACCTAGACTCTTGGGGCTCTCAGAGATTGAACCACTAACTAAAGAGCATACACAAGCTGGATGTAGCCAACCTCCTCTCATCCCCCACATATGTAGCAGATGTAAAGCTTGGTCTTCATGAGGTTCATGAACAACGGGAGTGAGGCTATCTCAAAAGCTGTTGGTTGTCTGTGGGATATGTTCTAGCTGGGCTACCTTGTCTGGCCTCAGTAGGAGAGGAAGCGCCTAGTTCTGCAGAAACTTGATGTGCCAGGTTGGAATGATACCTGGGGGGCCTCCACCTCTCAAAGAAGAAAGGGAGGGAGAATTGGGGGGAAGGATTTTGGGAGGGGGACACAAGGAGTGGAACAGTGAGTGAGATGTAAAGTGAATTAATTAATTAGTTAATTTATTAATTTAAAAAAAGAGCATGGACCTAATGGGCACAGGCCTGCAATTCCAGCTACTCAGAAGATTGAAGTGGGAGTTCACAAGTTCAAAGCTTGCCTAATCTATACTACCAGTTGAAAACCAGTATGGACAACTAAGAGAGAGCTTATTTCAAAATAAAAAAGCAAAGCAAGGCCTTCAGATAGAGCTCAGCGATAGAGGAACTGACATCCTACGTTCATTCTAGCACTGTAACAGACATATGAAAGAGAAATACAGACAACACTTGGAGACGGGGGTCACACACTTTGGCACTACATAGATTTGAATCCTGGCTCTCCTACTTCAAAGGCATGTAATCATAAGCCACATTGGCTTTCTGTGCATCAGTTTCTTTGCCTGTAGCTTAGGAATAGTGATTTATTTCTTCATAGAGTATTGGACATTAGGTGAATTTATGTTGCATAAATGTTTGTATTTAAAGCCACTTCCAGGTACACAGAACTCCCTATATGGAATGAAGCTGCCATTGCTCTGATAATGGTGGTGGTGATGGTGATGGTGAAGATGTAATTATTACTCAGACACTGAGCAAGGGGATAAAGATACTTTATCCTCAGATAGCACCTCTCCTCAGCAGAATCTAGAGACAACTGAATATGTCAACTTCCTTACTGTTTGATTTAATGTTGTCTGTTGTAGTTAGGAAATCCTGGTAAGATGAACAAACAACTGTTTGTTCAGCATAGAGAAAGGAGCCACAAGCTTGGTGTGAGTTGGAAGGAAGGTGCTGGCATATCTCATCAGTCAGTTAGGATAGGGAAATTGGCAGACAAAGCTGCCCCAGGAAGGTAGAACTATGATCAAGCTTGCGGGCAGGGGAGTAAGTTAACAGGAAAGGATATTCAACCATGAGTATGCGAGCACGCACATGCATGTGCATTACACACACACACACACACACACACACACACACCACACCCTCCTCCTCAGAGACATAGAGGCAATTCTAATGGAGCTGCCTATAGAAGCAGTTCTCCAAGTATGGTTCCCAGAACCTTGTCCACAAGATCTGCAGAAGTCTGAGTCTCACAGGCCTGCCCCAAGATCTACTGAGTCAGAATCACTGGGGTTTGATGAGTCCTCCAGATTCACTCATGCTCTTAGGGCTTGAGAACAACCAGTCTAGAGGAAGAGGGCACATGCCACCAAAAACCACATGTGAGATTTTGTGATCACTTGCTGAGATATTTTGAAGCATCTAGTTTTGCGCTGATTATTTGACCTTCACAGGTTCCTGCAATCCATAGGTTGATATGCTCAGTTTACAGATGGGAAAGTTGAGGCTTGGATTGAAGTTTAATATCTGTTTGTCTACAAGCCTCTGGAACCTTGAATAGTGAGGTCTTCAGATGGAACAAAGAAAAGTTAAAGGATGGATTATAATGAATTATTGGGAGATTGTCTAGACCATCACTGTCCAGAACTTTCTATGCTGATAGAAACATTTATATATTCTGTGTAGTCTGAGATGATGAGCTTCTATGGTGTAGTAGAAGAGTTAAACGTTTTAATTAATTTAAATATGAATAGATACATAGCTACCCTCTTTGATGATGCATTTCTAACATCCTAGAGCAAGTAAGTGTGGGGACAGGGCATAGCCCAAGGTCTGTCCAATTTAAAAAACTATGATCTTGTCCATTTTCTTCTGACCTAAGAGCTTTTCTTGTCTACTCTCTGAAAAAGACTGTGATATCTTTCTGGTCAACTGTCTGGGAAATTATCCTGGGAGTTAGCTAAGCACCCTAGTATTACTAGATCAGTTGCAGGGAATGAATGGGAAAGAGCCACAGCAGGCTGACTGTACAATCGTCCCCATGATGGATGTGAGAGCTGACTGGTAGCTCTCAGGGCAAAGAGAATGGGGGAGGAGCTTGCCATTCCTAAGTTATAGTGTCCTGCCGGCCTTTGTGTTATTAGACTTTGGATGAACTAGACCGAGTTCTCTGGAAAACAACTGTTTTAAGTTAAATTCTGGGACATTTTGCTTTATTTGTTTGATCATCCATGGAGCTTATGGAACATTGAAAACTCCTGTTCACAGGCATTCTTGGCTTCATCAGCCCTGTAAATTGTTCAAAATCCTCCCCTTCCACTTTTCTTTCTGTAATTCAGGGATCTCATTATTCCAGGCAAGAGACTAACAAACATTTCCTGTGAAAAACCTGATAATAAATACTTAAGACTTTGTACGTAAGGTCTCTGCTTCATATTCTTCTTTGTGTGAAGTTTGACTTTTGTGGGGTTTTATTTTTTTATTTTTAGGCAATCTTTTTGAGATGTAAGAATGAATCTTAGACTCACCAACTTTGATTTGACGTGTTTCTCTGTAAAGTGTGGGTTTTTCTCTGCCTGCCCTTTCTCTGAATAATGACATGAAGACTTTTATATTTACTAAAAGCTTCAGGCCCTATAGCTGGGCAGACACTCAGCTATCCTAACCTGACAATACTGGCCTGGTCTGCTTTCCAACTATATGATCCATTACCTGCCATCTTAGTCTTGGCCTGTGCAGTGGTTTGAATAGGTTTGGCCTCCATGAACTCATGTATTTGAATGCTTGACCCACAGGGACTGACACTATGTATGTGTGTGTCCTTGTTAGAATAGGTGTGTCTTTGTTGGAATAAATGTGTCACTGTGGGGAGGGAGAGCTTTGAGGTCCTATGTTCATGCTCAGCTCAGTGTGGAGGAAAGTCAGTCTCCTTCTGACTGCCTTTGGATCAAGATGTAGAACACTCAGTTCCTTCTAGAACACCATATTTGCCTGGACATTGCCATGCTTCCCATCAGAATTTATCATAATGTGATAATGGACCAAACCTCTGAAACTGTGAGCCAGCCTCAATTAAATGTCTTTTATAAGAGTTGCCTTGGTCATGGTATCTCTTTACAGCAATAAAACCCAAACTAAGACACCTTGGCATCTTATTCTTCATTTGTGTGCAGATTGCAACTCCCTGGTACCTACCTGAGACACACTTTCAGTCTCAGTCTCTCCCCCACCTCTTTCTCTGTCCAGAAATATTGTCATCTTTTCCTCTCCTGCCCAGGTATAGAAGGTGATGGAGAACAATGTTTTACAAATACTGAGTCAGAAAATACTTCATAATAAAGACTGGACTGCAACCAGAACTCTGGGTAGGAAATCAGCATTTGAATACACAGTGCACAAAAAGATCCTTCACCACTCTGACACTCTGGTTTCAAACAACAATAAACACAAAGACTTCTAGTCAGTTAGTTTCAATGATAGACCAGGAAGGATACTCTGATGAAAATTGCTTTGGTCCACCTTTTGAGAAACACTGTCATAGGAAGGACTTAAAGTGATCTACCTAGTAACCAAGCCTTTTCTTTGACAAGTCAGGGAACTGAAGTCCATGAAGAAGGGACTGTGACTTGCTCTGAGAGTTTGAATTTGGGCTACCCAGGGACTTAGTTGTGGGGGGAAGATGGCACCAACCTAGAGAGAGCCGGAAGAAGGGAGGAAACAGGATCACTGGTGATGTAATTTTTAAACGGTCCCTGGAGTGTGGCCACACCAGTGCATGTTCAGCCACTCTGAGTCAGCGTTTCTTGATGCCAGGGGAAGATGCTGTATGGGCGGAGCCTCCTCTTGCCGTCTTTGATCTGCCTCTTCTGAGAGAAATATCTTTGAAGGAGTACTCTCAAGCTGTCATCCAAATGTTTAATCCTTTAAACGTGCAGATCTTTGTAATGAGCTAGGCAGGACCCATGTAACTCTCTGCACACAAAGGCAAAGTAGATGGAGCTATCAGTTAGCTGTGCCCGGAAATGGGAAGTATGACTTTCAGTCTTGCTTCTATCACCAAATACCCAGAAAGGGCAAATCCCTGAACTAACTCTATGGGACTTGCCATCTCATTGGAAGTTGAGATGGGCAGAAAGAGCCATTTCCAGGTTTCTTTTGTGTTAGCTATTGCCAGAAGACTAGTTGTTGACACGGTTTTCATAACATTCTCTCACTCCTCTTTCCCACTCACTTCCTTTCTCTCTTCCTTTTCGTGTGGAGGGAATAAGGGCTTAAAGAGGAAAGCACTGACCTTGGCAAAGTCTATTCTTTCTTGGCAGAAATTATACCCTTGAAGAGTTATATATGTGCACATTTCAGTCAACAGCCTCAAAAAGTTTCTCTAGAGAGCCTGGACATTTCCTTCGCAGTTTGAAGCATGGAGCTAACTAACAACATGAATTTGGATTTGGGGAACTACATCCCCAAACCTACCATTTACTAATTAAAAAAATATTAAGGCAAACCAACTTGAACACTATTAGCAACTTTTATACAGTGCACTAGCCTAGTTAGGGATGCTGTTGGCATGGATTACCTGTGTCTGACACCCCTGGGTGGTAGCCACCCCTCCTGGCAGGAGGATTTTCCTAATTCTGACTCTAACATGTTGTGACAGGAGACCTGCAAGCCAAGGGAGTCAAAACTGACAGTCTCAAGGAGTTAGTGTTTAGTTTCTCAGAATGCTTGTAGTTTTTTCTTTTAAACCTAAATGTATTTTATGTTTGATATAGTAAAATTTAAAACACACAAAGCAAGAGGAAGCCACACAAATCACAACTCAGAAATGACCACATTGGTTTAAAAACAAATAAACACACAAACAAAAGAACACATCTAACTTCTTTTCTAGTCAGTGGAGCAATGTATGCTCAGGGCTCTAGCAAGCATAAAGAGAGAAATTAATCATAGCTCATCCCCCAGCTGATGATGTGTCCATGAAGCCCTTCGATGCCTAGCCTTCTGCTTTGCTCACTGGTGCATTGTTCCCAGCCTCCATGCTCACAAAGGCTGGGAACTGGTAGAGAGGCTCAGGCATGTTTGCTTTAGTGCTTTGGAATGATGCCTCCCTGAGGGCTGGACCTGGGTAGAAGCAGCATCTCAAACACACAGTGGACACCACTGTCCCTCCCTGTGTACTCAGCAGAATTTAAACAAGATGTCTGGCACCTTCCCAAAAGGGGGTTCAATCTAGTGTGAATGCCAGCTGGACTCACAGGCAGCAATACCGTGTGTTCGCAGAGTTAGCTGTGGATGCCTTCACACTGTGACTGCTGTAGATGTCATCACACTGTGACTGTGACTGCTGTGGATGCCATCACACTGTGACTGCTGCAGATGCCATCACACTATGACTGTGACTGCTGTGAATGACATCATACTGCTGACTACTTTCCTTCCCTGACCAGTTCCTTTATTAATTCTGACAGAAACAAGACTGTGTTTCCAATGTCCAACGACCTCTCAGTTATTTGCCTAAACAATGTCCAAGAGCTACAACTTACTATCTATCTAAGGATGACTTTGACTCTTGATCCTCCTGTCTCCTCTCCCAAATGCTGGCCCTGCAGGCATGAACCACTACTCCTAGCTCAGGCTCTACTTTCTTTCCCACCCCAAACCTCCATCTTTTCTGCCTTGAAAGAAAATGCTGAGTATTATTATTTTTTAACTAGGTATGTGAGAAGCAGCAATGTAACAAACACCCTGTTGGCACTGAAGTCTGATTGACTAGGATTAAGTTCTGGATGGTGGGCAGAGACTTGGGTGGTCTGTTACCCTTTTGGGAAGCAAGCATTTACCCCAAAGGGTATGTTGAAAACTGAAGAAAAGTTTAGCAGAATCTAACCAATCCATGTGTTTTGCCTATAAAAAAAAAAAATACAAATAAAAGACTTAGAAAATTTTCCTTTCTAAATTTTATGTTGTTTTTAATCCCCTTCTTTTGGTTGATGAGGGCATGCAAAACAATCTCCTACATTTTAAGAATGCAAATGGTCTATCAACCTGCAATGACCAGGACATAAAACACAATTCAGTTTTGTAACTTTACGATGTCCCAGGTAATGTGAAAAATATTTTAAGTGAATGATTTTAAAGAGTCCTCATGAAGCCACAATTCAAAATGGAGTTGTATTGTCTGAGCCTGAACCTTAGTTGTTCTTGCTAAAAGATATCATTCTGACACCTTTCTTTGATGGGAGGTGAGAGTGGGAAGAAGGAGCCAGAATATTCTGTGGCAGGTAAGGGACAGCCATCTAGAGAAGCATTTCTATATCATACAACAATGAAGGCACCACTGCAGGACACTGAGACACACAGGGAAAAGCCTTGGCATGTGGGCTCCGGCACTTGACTTAAGGTGAGCCCTCAGCCTTGGCCTGGTTGACATTTAGGCATCTCTGACAGGTCTTGTGAAGGAAAAGGTTTCAGTAGAGAGAGCCTGAATATGGGAATCTGGGGGATATGCTGGTAGATGGTGGGACTGGAAAACAAAAGTGTAATTACTTTAAGCAGAAGAAGGTTTGGACAAGGACATTTTCATGATTGGCTTTATTCTTCTCTTTGTTATTGCAGTGTTTCCTTTGCTTTGTGTAAGGAGGGGTGCGGGAAGAGCTGATTTTGTTTTTAGAGCTCCTCCCTTGTCCTAGGTGTCTTGTATAAACATCATCTCTTCTGGGCCCAATAACAATGTTTTGAGGTAGGCAGGTAGTGCTAGTACTTGTCTTGGTTTTAGAAGAGAACACTGAGGACCAGGAAGGGGATTTGTTTAGTATTTTTGAAGGCATGGCATGCTAATATGGACTTTTCAAATTAATTCCATAGGACTGTAAAAAATTCCCAGTGGGCCCGGAAACAAAACTACATTAGTATGTGTGAAAGCCAAATGATAGGTGGATATTCTGCAATGCAGGTAACAATAATTTAGTGCCCAGTTCAAGCAAATATTCACAGGAAGGAGTCAAGACTAGTCTCTGGGAGGGGAGGGGGTGAGAAGTGAAATTCTTCACATGCTTACATTGCTTTCTAAAGTGAGGACACTTGTGGTTTTATTCCAGGAATTACCCTCCCTCTTCCCCCTTCAACTTCAGTTGATAGAATGAAGAGGCTGCAAATGAGTGGCAGAAATTGTTTTCAGGGAGTGACCAGGCAATGTGGTGACTTGCAGTGAGTGAGCTCATAGAAAGGCATTTTTATTGGGAGTTTCTTTTACTTCAAGCTGCCTGCCCTGGATGGCTGCTCTGAGAACCTTTCTTCAGCAGCGTGCCCTGAAAGTCTTGCTGGACCTCTTCCCTCTGGCTGAGAGAATCTCCATTGCTGACCCATTTGAAAGCCGCCCATGGGATTAGTGGGATTTGCGTCTAAGCCAGGGGGACCTGCTCTGGCAAGCTAGTCAGCCGCTTCAGTGTTCCCTCCTAAGACCAGCAGTTCTGGGACTCTCAGGCCTTCGATATTCCTCTACCATGGGGAGTCTGTTCAGGCTGGGGTACCTCCTAAAGCCTTTTGGTTGTCTTAGTTTGGAGTGGGGACTGAGGGTAGTGTGAAGCAGGGTCCAAATCCATATGGGCAGAGTGTAATCAGGGCCATACTGTCCTCTCCCTGCAGGCAACCATTCACTGAATTCTCCCTGATGTCCCTGTGGTTCTCAAGTTTCCCAACCTGATCACTCTTAGTATAGGGCATTGGCTCTCCGGCTAGGGGGAAATTCTCATAGTTTCCAGGCCCACTGTTTAGCCCTATGGGAGTGGGAACAACAACTAAAAAGGCCTGTCTCCCAACTAGGTAGTTTATTTTCAAAGATAATACATTGTTTATGTTGCCATGAAGCCAGCAGGGAGGACTATGGGTAGATTATTGCTGTAGGTATCACATCCAGCAGCTGGAGACCTCCTTCTCCCCAACTGACTTAAGTTACACTCATGATTGATGATTGGAAAAAAGAAAAAAAAAAGAAGCCCACTGCAGATGGACCACTAGTGGGAACTTGAAAACCAACATTGCTTTGCTCCTGGCAGAAGTCTTTGCCTGACATTGAGGGGACACCGTGAGTGTTGCAGTAATCAGAGACAGGTGTTAATGGAGTCAGACAAAACTGGATTCAAGCCCCCAAACAGATCTTTCACTAGATGGTGACTCTGAATGTGTTCCGACCCTCCAATCTGTGCACTGAAGCCCTAGCAGAAGAGAATAATACTGCTTTTCTCTTAGTGCTGTTCTGTGGATTAAATGAGACAAACACGAGGAGCACAGTACTTAGAGCAGGGCCTGGCAAACAGCCAGTGCTCAGCCAATGCTGGCTGTGGTTATAGAAAAATGTAGCCCAGCATCTAGTGCCAAGGACACGCTCCATGAAAGTAGCTGTTCCTTAGGATTCTGGAATGTCAGGGCTGGAAGGGACCTCCTCTAAAGTGAAATACATCAAATACATTTTCTTGTCTCCTTGAAAATGAAGGAATCTGAGGGCCTAAGAGGGTCACAGACCAGTCCAGATCATGCTCTGAATTTAGGAGAGAGAGAGAGAGAAAGAGAGAG